GGTGGCCCATGCTGGTGGAATGGAGGGCTACCGTACGCTTCTGACCGGTGGCAGGCGGCACCTTCGGTGGCCTGTGCTGGTGGAATGGAGGGTTACCGTACGCTTCTGACCGATCGCAGGCGGCACCTCTGGTGGCCCATGCTGGTGGAATGGAGGGTTACCGTACGCTTCTGACCGGTGGCAGGCGGCACCTCTGGTGGCCCATGCTGGTGGAATGGAGGGTTACCGTACGCTTCTGACCGGTGGCAGGCGGCACCTTTGGTGGCCCATGCTGATGGAATGGAGGGCTACCGTACGCTTCTGACCGGTGGCAGGCGGCACCTTCGGTGGCCTGTGCTGGTGGAATGGAGGGTTACCGTACGCTTCTGACCGATCGCAGGCGGCACCTCTGATGGCCCATGCTAGTGGAATGGAGGGTTGCCGTACGCTTCTGACCGATCGCAGGCGGCACTTCTGATGGCCCATGCTGGTGGAATGGAGGGTTACCGTACGCTTCTGACCGGTCGCAGGCGGCACCTCTGGCGCCCGCGACGCCTGCCTGGCGGTGCCGGTGGGCCGCGCGTGCGGCCGTGGCCGACTCTGACGCCTGGCCGCGCCTGCTGCGCTGCACGGTACCATCTCCGGCAGGCGTGCCGCTCAGGCTGGCAACGGGGGCGCGTGATCGGTGTTGTGCGGTATTGTGCGTCAGCCGAATTGCATTGCTTGCGTGAAGCCCACGTTGCGTGCCGTAGTTTGTGTTGGGGTTGTAGGGTCCTGACCTCGTCTAACGATGCAGTGTCTTCCTCTATGGGCACTGTCAGCATTCCTCAACGAACTGAGTGAGAAAAAATGGGGGCATTGTCTACAAAAACCGTACTTTGTGGCAAGCAGCGTCGCCTGGGCGTAATCATGGGATGCGTTTTGTTAACGATAAATGACATGATAAATAAAAACAGCTTTTCATGGCAAAACCATTGGAAGAAGAAGTCATAATTTTTCCACAGAAAATATTCAGCCCCGTTGGGTCCTCCCGCGCAGGTCGTCACGCCTAGCCAATCACGGACCGCCAAACGGCAGCTAGCGGCCAGGCCGTCGGTATGTGGTGACGTCATTCCTGGTCACATGACACTGATTGGTCTCCGACGACATTGCTATACTGGACAAGGTATAAATGCAGCACCGGAAGATGGAGAACCCCGTCGTTGAACCGCTTCCCAGCTCAGCAACTGGAGTGTTTTAGAGCCTAATGAGGTTATGGCAAACAACACTTGTGTGTGGACTTCAATCCGGTTCTGACAGTTGAAAACTGCAAACGTAAAGCATGTCCTTAAATAGTGATTTCGAACGGGAGCAATTTCATTGATAGTGGTCCCACCTAAACGGTTAGCCTACGTGATAGCTTTTGACGCGATGCATAGCGAGATTTCGCGCCAACTGCCTGGCACGCATTCCACAAACGCCGACAGGCACCGGTCGTTCCACCTCGCCTTTGGATGGCGTCATGCCCGGGCTCCACGGGGCTGGCGCGTCCGCCGTCCGTTGTCGCTGTGACCTCGGCGCAGGTCCCAGGCCAGGCAGCGGCCGGCGGCGGCGCCGCGCGACGGTGCCGACGCGGCCGTCAGCGCCGCCGCCTCGTCCTGAGCTCTTACGGAGCCGGCTTTGATAACGCGGCACACCTGGACTCGCCACGGCGCCGGCGTGCAGGCACACCTGGACTCGCCACAGCGCCGGCGTGCAGGCACACCTGGACTCGCCACGGCGCCGGCGTACAGCCGGAGCGTCCGGCCGTGCACCGTGATGGCTCGTCGGAGCCATGCCGTTTTGCATTGAGTGGTGGTGGCTGATACGGGGAGCGGCAGCCCGAATGTGCAGTGGATGCACGACGGCAGGAGCGACGACGGTGGACACGGCCCGCCCTCTCTTGGTGGAGGCGAAACACTGCTCCCCCGGTGGCGCGCTAAGTGGCTGGACCTAGCGATGGGCTTTGGCCTGTCTGTGTTTTGCTTGGACGCTCCTGGACGAAGGCACGGTGTCCACCACACGGAGTGTCCGCCGGCCGCGCACTAGTGGTCAGCTGGGCGGTCAGGCCGCGGACCCCTGGGTCAACGTTGTCCGCCCCAGCTGTCTGCGGCGGCAGCTGGGCGGTCAGGCGGCGGACCCCCGGGTCAACGCGGCCCGCCCCAGCTGTCTGCGGCGGCAGCTGGGCGGTCAGGCGGCGGACCCACGGGTCAACGTAGCCCGCCCCAGCTGTCTGCGGGGGCGTGGCGCCGGGGGCTCTCGACAGCCGGCCTTTCGATACGAGGGATGGTGGCGGTGTCCCCGGCGACGTGTGTTTGAAAGCCTCTCTTAGTACGCACGGCGAACAGCTTAATGATGCTATTCTGTGTGTGCAATTGCACATTGACGGATTCCATGGCATGTCGTTAATCGGCTAGTATCGGGCAAGCCTTCGAGTGGCAACTGACATCGCGTGCACTGTCGTAGCAATCGGACAATGGTGACCTATAGCGGTCGGCAATGTCACCGGCAGTAACGACCACGTCTCGACTGCACCGCACCGGAAAGCGCACAAGCGGCGTTCGGTATTGAAAAGCTTTTGACGCGAAATTGAGCTGATGTAACAAAGGCAGCTGGCCAGCAGTTCTGGTGAAGGCAGATAGAAGCGTGACGTTGTCTAAATGATTGAGAAAGGAGCGTGTAGGAAGTGGTTTGGGAATAAGAGGGGGTCACAGGCTGTGGCCAAAACAATAAAGCTCAGGATAATACAGAGCAAACTGCGGTACATCAGTGCTTCGACACGGAGCTGTCAAACGGAAAGACTGGGAATAGAGGATTTATAATGTCGTGAATGTCATGATCACCAGCATTTATTACCCAGCGATAATCGGTTTCCTGGAAGGTGACGTGTCCTGGCCTTACCCGCCATCCAGGCTATCGAAATCCGCTCAGCACAACGCAAGCCACCGCTACCACGAGCGTGATGCGGTATCTTTGTCTACAAAAATTTCCATCGATGGCTGGTCGTCGTCCGAGTGCCGAGATGCGGCGGGTCGGTACGGCTGGAGCTCGCCTGGTGACCGGGCACCGTGGTAGATCTGAACGGGCACGCCCCTTCAAAGAGTTGAACAATCTGGAATTTGCTCTTTTGGAGCTTGATTCTCAGGAACTGACACAGTTTTTGGAAGTTCCGGTCTCGGGCCGCGATACCAGGTCTGTCCCTAACCAGCGCGCCTGCAGGCGCCGGTCGCTCCCGCTGCCGATGGAAAGCGGGCACCTATAGCGAGGCGGGGTGGCGTGGGGTCCCGCAGTGCCCCCCCCCCCCCCCCACTTCCCTCCCTCCCACGCGGGGCTGCAGCCGCCCCATTGTGTGGTCGATGAGTGACGCCGCCACTATGTCGGTCGGTGCAGGGGCGGGCGACACGACCGGCGCCCGCAGTGCTGGCGTGGACCGGCGCGGGAGGGGTTCGGTGACGACGTTCCCAGTACTGCCACCGCACGGAGGTGGCGCTGGCGGCAGAGAATGTCGCACTAGTGTGCGCCGGCGCGGGATTCAGATTTGTGTGCAGCCGTTGACCTCGAGAGAGCCGCAATCTGTGCGTAGCGGTGCGGTCCGTGCTCGCATTTGCCTTTGTCCCTGAGCATTGGATTTGTTGAAAATCCGGAGGGAGAACTTCAACGGTGCTCTCCCTTCCGTGACCCTGTTTCTGGAATCAGTATTCTCCGAAGGGCGCACATTTTAACGTGCGGGTACCACGAATGATGGCGCGGCGCGGACGCCGTCTCCGTGTTCCTGTATTTGCGCTGCAAACACTCGTGGAAAGTGGTGTCGTCCCGGTGGGTCGATACGCGGCCTCGCGGCACGGCTCATTTGCAGCGGCCAGACGGCACTGACCTCTGCAAGGCGCTCCCTTCCGTGTGCTGTACGCGTGTGTGACAGTTGTGGGGCTGGGTTTGCACCGGCGCGCTGAAAGCAGCAGATATGGAGTGTCAAGTCATTCCGCAGCACACCACTAGCGCCCGTCGGGACGCAGGTCCCCTGCCCCTCCCCCCCCCCACACACACACTTTCGGGACGGTGGTCCGTGGCATGCTGACCTCGGTCGGTACGTGCCCTCAGCCGGTGTCGGACTGTCCGACAAAACTCTGCCTCTCCGCGACAAACTGCACAGATTGGCCAGGCGCCCAGACGGCGCTTTCGGGCGCGTCGACTGCGGACCATGGGCATTATTTAGCCACGGGCATGCCGACCGGGCGGCTCTCGACAAAGGGCGGGCGGGCTTGGACAATGAGCCAACAGATTGTCACCAGCCGCCCATCAATCGACGCTAAACGCGAAGCGATGACTGGCATGATTGCTGTCGCGCCGTTCGACGACCGACGGCCTGCCAGCTCCTTTTGCAGTCAATCAAAGCTCGTGAAGAGCGGCCGAGCTGCCGCCAAACGCCGTCCGTTCTGCGGGGCCACGGAGTCGGAGTGCCGCCGCCTCGGCTCTGCGGCGCCGCCGCTGCTCTCCGCGGCCGGCCGCCTCCCGCGCTCTCGCTGGCCACGGCGGCGCATCGCACCTGTTCCGCGTCATCCCCTCGCGCGCGCGCGCGTCAGGTGCTACTGACGCCGGCGCCGCGGCCGCCGCCACCGTCGCCGTGGTCCGGCCAGGCCCGGCGTCCCCCGTAAATCGCCCCCGCGACTCAAGGTCACGCGCCGCGCCGTCCCCATTGCGGCCCCGCATCGCACGTCGACCGGCGATCTCGAGTAGCCAGGGGTGGGCGGGGAGCTGGAGTCTGCGTCTCGCGGCGACGCTCCCCGGCTGCGGCCGCGCGCCCGGCGCTCAAGGGGTGCCCGTAACCCGATCGCCGGGGGCGACCCACCGCGCGGCTGCCGCGCGCTTACAAATAGCCAGCCCCTGCGGCGCGGGCCGGCGCTGCGCCGGGTCGCGCTGTCAGACAGTGTACGGCCGGCCGGCGGCCGCCGCCGCGCGCCGCGCCGGTCCGCCGTGAGACGGCCGCCGCGTCCCCTGGCGCCCGGCGTCGGCGAGTTCACGGGGGCGGTGCGGTTCCCACTATTTCGGGCGGCAGCGCGGGTGGTGGCGGCGGCGCCCGGTGCTCGGCCGCAGTGCGGTGGCGGCTCGTGTGGGGGTGTGTGCGCGCGCGCTGCGGGAGTCGGCCTGCGGACCTACCTGGTCCTGGATGCACTGTTGAGGTGAGTGCCGCAGAGGTCGCGCGGGGAGGGGGAGGGGGGCGCCGAGTGCGGTCTGCACCGGCTGTTTCCGGGACCGGGGACTGGGGGCTGGCGCTCCGGGCGCCCTGGACGCGGACGTCGCAGCGGATGGCGGGATGGCCTTGCATTAATTAGAATAGCCACCTGTGACGTGGCGCTGCAACCCTTTGCCCTTGAAGGTGACGGGAGAACTTTCCTGCCGGGCAACAGCGTGATGCGGGCGTAGCTGGGCGCTGAGGCGGCGCAATGCTCGTGGCCACTGCTAGCTCGGACTTGGGCTGTGCGTTCCACCCGCGTGATGTGTCACAATGCGTCGCCACTAGTGGGTGTGCGGTGTTGACGTTCGCGCAGCTGGCGGTCTTCGACGCGGGTGCCGGGGACGGCAATGCCTGTGTCCTGTTAGGGGGCATGATGCTCGGTTGTAGTGCGTGTTTCGGTTTGGACGGCTATTTCGTCAGACCTCACGTGAATCGTGGCCGTTAATTGGCATTACGTGCCCACAATCCGGCGCCAGCGAGTCCGAAGCCACCACGGGTGCTTGACTGAGCTTGACTGACTGAGCACCACTTGACTTGACTGAGCCAGCCGACACTTACGAGCTGCGGCCGTGGGTCGGCTGCCGTGGCGAGGACTGCGCTTCTGCCGCCGAGCGCCGCGACCGCCGCGCTCCGGAGGCGCCGATTGGCGATCGGGCCGGCGATAATCTGGCGCTGGGCGCGGCGTGATGCGATCTGCCGGCTGAGCTTCCCGCCTTCCAAACCGGGACGCGCCTGCTGCACAAAAGCCGGCTGACGGGCTGCCTGTTTTGCCCGCGCCGGGCGCCGGCATCCCGTCCCTCAAGCGCTGGAGTTGACTGTTCCGTCACTAATCACGCCGGGAGGTAATCTGGCCCTGCAGGAAGCCGCTGCAGGCCGGCCGTTCCTCGATGCTGTGCAGTGGCGGGCAGGCGCTGGGCGGTGGGCCTTCCCCGCATAGTCGGTGCGCGGTCTGCCGCGCGCTCCGTCCGAACCGCCGCGCCCGAGGCTGCCGACCCCGTGCCGCCGGCGGCGCGCGGCGCTCCTCCAGCGGCGCCGGCGTCGCGCCTGGCCGGCTCTGCTCGGCTGGCTATCTGTGTCGGCGAGATCGTCACGCCAGCGCCGGTGACACGGGCCGTGCGCCGCCGGCCCGGCCCGGCCCGGCCCAGACCGCCGCCCGGCCGCTGCCGACGCTGGGCCCCGCCGGGAGAGAGCAGGCCGCCACCGGCCGGTCCGGCGCCGTGCAGCCGGCGCGGGTCACGCCGCAAAGGCGCCACGCGCCCCGCGGCGCGCCGCTTTCGCTCTCGGGCGCGTTGTTCCGCGCTACGGGCGCGGATTATAATTGCGGCCTGGGAAAGGCTAGCGGGTGCGGTGGTGGCCAGTGTCTAGACAGGGGCGGTGACGCTCTCTCGTCACCTGCGATGCAGGCACTGCGCGGTGGTGGCCGGTGTCGAGACAGGGGCGGTGACGCTCTCTCGTCACCTGCGATGCAGGCACTGCGCGGTGGTGGCCGGTGTCTAGACAGGGGCGGTGACGCTCTCTCGTCACCTGCGATGCAGGCACTGTGCGGTGGTGGCCGGTGTCTAGACAGGGACGGTGACGCTCTCTCGTCACCTGCGATGCAGGCACTGCGCGGTGGTGGCGTTGAGGTACACCCGGCACAGCCAGCCTCTGGCTCTGTTTAGCGTGTGCAGAACTGTTACCTTAATTTAGCCCGAGGATGAATGCTGTGCACGAGAGTTCTGTCTGGGTACAAGCGCAAAGCGTGACAAAGAAGTTTCACAATACACAGGGCGTTGAACCAGCTGGCGAAAATAAGGCTACACTTGCGACCTTGAGTTGCGAAGTAGCTCGTCACATGCGCTTTGGCTATCATTTGATATGCAGACTTTCAGCTGCGTGTTTTAGCCCCATGCTGTTGTCTTGTATTCTCCCGCGCAGAAAACTACCCGTTTTCACTCTCACAACATGAGGAGCGAATGCAGAAAAGCACCACAAGTCCACCGGCGCGTTACGTGCTCAATGGTGGGGTGCTCAGTAAGACAGCTACATTTGGGTGTCTGGGGGCCTTTTAAAAAGAACGAAAGTGCCGACTTTGAAATGTTAGTTTGCCTCCAGGGCGCAGGTTGTGCCTCATTTCGTCCAGGCCGCTAATTTCTAAGATGTATGCGTTTATGATGTGGATTAGTTAATCTTGCTGCTTTTAAGTTTGCGTACAGGTACGCTGACTGACAACGGGCCTTCGGTCAATGCTTCTTATACGTTTTGTCATAAGCTTTTCATTTCACCCCGCCGGAGTGGGACCATTGTTTGGGTCGATTTTGTAGGTGTGGTCGAATCGTATCCGCACCGTATCCAGCTGCGACCCAGCGCTTGACCCGCGGCGTGACCTGTGTGACCTGCGGCGCGGCGCTCTGCCACCTCCCCCTCAGACGGGTTTGCGCCTGACGGGTGGCCGCCTGCCCCACGCGCGGCCGGCTGACAACCCGCGACCGTGGCTCCGCCCGAACGAGCGGCCGGCTGGCTGCCGGCTGACTGGCGGTGCCGAGCCGTGACGCGGCGCGCCTCACTGCGGCGCCGCGCGCAGTCTGGGTCAGATGAGGCATGCCGCCGGCCTGACGAGCACGGCGTGGTGACCTACAGTGCGCTACTGCTCGGCCGCGCTCGCCACGATATGTGATGTGATAATGCCGCGTCCGTAAGCCACGGCAGTCGTCAGCGTGCTGTCGCTCCGGAGCCACCGCGAAACGCAGCCGGCAGGACTGGCGCGGACCACTGGCCCTGGACGCAGCCGGCAGGACTGGCGCGGACCACTGGCCCTGGACGCAGCCGTTAAGACTGGCGCGGACCACTCGCCCTGGACGCAGCCGGCAGGACTGGCGCGGACCACTGGCCCTGGACGCAGCCGTTAAGACTGGCGCGGACCACTCGCCCTGGACGCAGCCGGCAGGACTGGCGCGGACCACTGGCCCTGGACGCAGCCGTTAAGACTGGCGCGGACCACTCGCCCTGGACGCAGCCGGCAGGACTGGCGCGGACCACTGGCCCTGGACGCAGCCGTTAGGACTGGCGCGGACCACTGGCCCTGGACGCAGCCGTTAGGACTGGCGCGGACCACTGGCCCTGGACGCAGCCGTTAGGACTGGCGCGGACCACTGGCCCTGGACGCAGCCGTTAGGACTGGCGCGGACCACTCGCCCTGGACGCAGCCGTTAGGACTGGCGCGGACCACTCGACCCGGACGGCCGTGTGTGTTCTTGGCCGCGGCTGCGACAGGAGGGTCTATAGCGTCGCGGCGCGCTGCTCGGAGGGGCTGAGGCAGGCTCCCGGAGCCGGACCTGTCCGTGTCACGACCTGCGGTGCTCTCCTTGATCGATGGCGTCGCCGGCGGGCGGGTGTCGTGAGTCGTGAGTCGGGAGTCGTGAGTCGTTCCGTAGCGGCGCCGCCGGCCCCTCGGCCGCCGGCGTGCCTGTGGCCGCCCGTTGCCCCACGACCCGGGCTGGGGGTCGCGGCTGCCAGCGTTGAGGTCCATGTCGGTTCTCGGCGGCGGTGGGGTGGGCTGTCTGTACAGCGGGGGCTGCCGTGCGCCCTCCCGGTGCCACGGGTGGAGGGATCGCCGGGGACGGCCCTGAACCCTGTCGGGAGCCCGGCATGGACCGTTCCCTGCCGTGGTCCCGATGATTATCTTGTACCCTGTCTGTCCCGGGTCGGCCCTGCTTCCTGCCGGTACTCCGGGACTGTGCTGTCTCCTGTCGGTTCCTCGGTACCTCTCTGTACCCCGTCTGTCCCGGGTCGGCCCTGCTTCCTGCCGGTACTCCGGGACTGCTGTCTCCTGTCGGTTCGTCGGTACCCCTCTGTACCCCGTCTGTCCCGGGTCGGCCCTGCTTCCTGTCGGTACTCCGGGACTGCTGTCTCCTGTTGGTATCTCGGTACCTCTCTGTACCCTGTCGGTACTCCTGAGCCGGCTCTGTACCCCGACGGCTAGGCAGGTCGGCCCTGTGCCTCAGCGCCACCCGCGTTGGCCCTGTATCCTGTCACCACGCCGGCTCGCCCTGTACTCACCCATCATCCCGGCTCAGCTCCATATCCTGTACTGCGAGACCGGCTGGTCTGCTGTCGGTGCGGGGCGGCAGTGTGCCGCGCGTCGCCGGCCCGCTCCCCGACACACGTGCCGGTCAGGCCGGCGGCCGACAATGGCGGCGCTCGCTGCCGACCGACGACGCTGCTTTCACCAGCGCCCGAGTTTTTGCACGGTCTGTTCAAACCGGCACCATTAGGGCGACCCGGCGGACGTACGTGCCGGCGTGGGGGACGCCCGCCCCCCCCCCCCCCCGGCGCCGGCGCCGCCGAGGGGGTCGTCATGGGGGGACAGGCGTGCTCCGGGCGCCGCACCAGTCGTGCAGGCCGGGGGCGGCGTGGGTTCACTGCACGGGAGGGCGCCGTGGTGGTTCGAATGAACGGTCGACGACGGACGTCGGCGAATGTTTGGGGTTCGGTAATACGGGATCGTCGGGCTTTTGAGGGCCATGTCCGTGGCCCAGTCGGTCGTGTGTGTTCGTTTGGGGGGCGCGTGTTCGTGATCCAGTTGTACACACCCCTTGTGCCGACCTGTCGCCTATCCTCCACAACATTGATGCGCGTTACGATCGCGGCCGTCACGCTCATATATTCCGCAAGAGATAGCACCAATCCGATCCCAATTGGGTTTCAATGGGACCCATGTAATTGCTGAGGAGCGGGGATCATTGTCTCGCCAAACGGTAACCAAAGTCTGCTGCCGACAAAGCGTCGGTGGGCGCCGGCTGAAGGACTGCCGCCGGCCAGCGCCTGCTGAGTCACGGCAGCGGCCCCGCCCGTCCGCGGCCGCCCCGCCGGCCGCGTGCGCGAGCGGTGCGTCACTTTTGTCTCACCTCGCTGACGCCGCCACCGCACATGACCTGCCTGGCACAAAGGCCGGGTTCCGTGCCA